TTGAGAGGACGATCTTAATTTCCGTTGAGAGGTGTTGTACTTAAGTAATTCACTGATGTAGTAAGGCGCTGTTCCATTGAGAGCTTTGTAGACCAGTAGTCATTTATACATTTTGGTTTATTCCAGGTTCATCGCTGGATGAAAACTCCGTGTCAGCCATTCCGTCATCTCCTGAGGACATCAAACCTGTGATTCATGTCGACAAGGGCAGTCCCTGTACAAACACACTGACCCACTCTCCCTCCCCAGTACCAAAAGCACTCCCTGCCCCAGAGGTGCTACAACAGCAGCAGCAGTTCACCGATTTTACCCGCCCTTCCAGCCTACACATACCCGAAGACAGCAAACCTTTAATTTTGGCATCAACTAACGACAACATCTCGTGCTCAGCTCCCTCACATTTGAAGTTGCCCAGCGCACGTGCAATGCACATGGACATGCGATACAGCCCATACACCAGACCTCCTTACTCAATGAGCGGTATGCCATCCAGTTTCCTCACGCCACACGCCCACGGTCACATGTACCCGTCGTACAGCGTACCACAAGCTGCCTACCCATCGTGCCAAGTGGGCCAGACCTACCCACCATGCACAGCAAATCAACAAAGTTTCGGCTACCCCGCTACCGTCTCCTCATCCAGCATGATCGGGCTGGCCAGCGGCAACGTAAGCTCGGATCTAACACCGACATTGGACCTGCATGGACCAGCGGACAGGACGCCAGGAATGGAGCACAGAACGACATGAACACAGACAAATAATTCTCGTATGAAGATGCTCTATATAGAATAAGGTGATAACCAGTAATTTAAGGAATTGCTTTGACGCAATCAGAACACTCTTCTGCTATGGCAAGTAATAGTAGTAATTAAGCAGTTTATTTAGAAATATGATTATACGATGTGCTTTGACTATATACCCAACACACCGATCACTTTATATTCTTAAGTTATTTGTTGTGTAGTCCGACTTTATATACATACTGTACAACCGACCTCGTGTTACATCGAGGTCCGATTCAAGAACTTTGCATTACACAAAGCATAAGGTGAACGATATAAATACAATACAGGAATTAGAAAACTCGATTCATTACAAAAGACATTGGCCCTTAAAATGCATCACAAGCGAAATACACGCCGGAGAGCGTTGAAAGGGAAATATAAATATACTACCACTTGTTCTTCTTATATGTCAAATATGACGGGAAATGAATGCCATTGGTATTCAATTAAAGATGGATGCCGTGGAGGTTACGCGTTTGACAAGCCTGTTAGGTCACGTGCTGAAGCAAGTTTTGAGCCAAGTGCTTTAAGCTTTAGATTTCTCGTTTTCTGGGGTGTTGTTGATTGGTAGATTAATCCCCTGTTATTGACATCGTGAAAATAATTGCGAACAGTTGCTTTTTAGCAGTAAGATGTATTTAAGACAACGTAAATAGAAGTTTCGTTTAAAGTATCTGGTTGTTTGAAAGATATTTCCAAGAAAATTGCTTAAATCGCGTGCAAATCAAAAACAAATAATAATAATATTGAAATGTGTCACTTGTAAAGTTTGTGACTGTTGACCACGCATTGGAGCTTTGCGTCAGGACAATAAAATTTCCTCTAGTTATCGAAATAGTCATTTTACAAAATAAACATTATAAAAGGTTATAGGGATAGAACAAAAGTTAACGAGCGAGTATTCTTACTGTTAGGATATTTACAATGCAGGGGATATTACAAAATGGGATTTCAGGACCATTGCAAATATCTTCATTTCCATTTTTTCATTGTTATTAGATACGTTCGTTTTGTTTCACTTTAATATAAAATAGCGCTGCAACGAGGAAGCAATTGTCGATTCAAATTCTTTTATATATCGTATTGTTTCTCAGTTGTGTTTTAGCAAGGAAGGGGTTGCATGAGGAGTTTAAAAGCAAGATTGGTGCTGTATTATCATAGTATCAGAAAACTTAGTGGTGAGAGAGA